TAAGTGGGAGAACTTGCACAATTGGTGGCTGACTAAATACTTTTTTGCTCCACTGTATATGAGACTGCTTTATTACAAGCATTCCTTTGATTTGGGAACATGTGTCCAACATCTTGCAAAAAGTTATTTAGGCTATCAATTCTCATTAGTACAAATTCCTCTTAAGCAAACTGGAAACTTACAACTTGTTCAAAATAGCTGACACTGTGGACTACTTTCTCCAGAAACAGTTAGTCCTGAGCCAAGAGTTTCTGACTATGGATGTTTAATTTGAGAGGCTGCCATCTATACTGCATGTGTTCTTCAACCTTGGAAAAAAACTGCTATAGTGTTGATGTTGAGGATCATATAGATAAAAAGGGACTGCTGAGGTGGAAAGCAGTGTTATTCATATGTAATGAAGTCATTACTGCAGAGACCTAAAATAGAACCCTATGTGAATGCCCATACGGAGGTGAACTGTGGAATTCTGGAGAAGATCCTCAAAAGCTAAGATTTAAAATATTCAAGCTCTATGCCTGATGGAACTATCTTTCTCAATACTGGGCATCCCTTTCTCTGAGGGAAGAGTACCTTGCACTGTTGACTACTCCCAGGTTAAGAAGCGTGAGGTAGCCAATGCTTCACTGTGATGATTGAAAAATTATCATGAAACTCATCATGAATAAGGCAATGCAACTTACCAAAGGATGATACAAAATTATTATCTCATGTAGATATAGGAATGGCTATAAGATACTGTAACGGAATCTACTTACAGGTAGTCCTTGCTTAATGACTGTTTGTTTGACGACAGCTCAAGGTTACGATGGCCTCGGAAAGGGTACTTTATGGCCCCTAAAGCACTTCTGGCCATTGTAAAATGTTGTGCCGCCCCTCCCATAGCCATGTGGCTGCATTTCAGGCACTTGGCAACTGGCTCACATTTACAACCAGTTGCCAAGCGCCCCATGATCATGTGATCGCCATTTGCAATCTTCTCTGCTGGCTTCCCCATAATGTGATCACCTCTGCGGCGGTGGGCAGGAACGGAGCTCAAATCCTGAAGATTTGAGCTCCGTTCCATCAACGCTGAGAGATTTCCCCTCCCCTCTCAGCAGTGGGCAGGAACGGAGCTCAAATCCTGAGGATTTGAGCTCTGTTACATCAACGCTGAGAGATTTCCCCTCCCCTCTCAGCAGTGGGCAG